ATAGCCTATATTTTCTTTGGGTTGGCCTCGATGCCCTATCAGCTGACCATGCATCCCAAAAGTGTGTCGCTTTGGACGTCGAAGGTGCACATCTTTGGATTGAGGCACAAATTGAATCGCTTCATAATTTCAAATATCTTATGGAGGTCGACAACATGGTTGGATGAGTGTTTGCTCTTGATGATCATGTCATCAACATATGCTTCCATCGTACGACCGATGATAGATCTAAACAGTTTCGCCACCATTCAATGCAAGTGGCGTCAGAGTTTTTGAGTCCAAAGGTCATGATGAGGTAGCAGAAGATTCCCTCTGGGGCCATGAATGTCCTCATCTCGACGTCATCTTCGTGCATGAAAATATGATGGTGTCCTTAGAATGCATCGAGGATTGACATCAGCTCGCATCTGACCATTTCATCAACCAGGTGATGAATGTTGGGGAGAGGGAAAAGGTCTATAGAGCATTCTTTGTTAAGATTCGTGTAGTCCACACACATTCTGAAGGTGGGCAATTTTTGTGTGAGGACCACATTAGCCAGCCAGGTTGGATATTTGGCCTCTTTGATATGGCGAATGCTGAGGAGCATCGTCACTTCGGTCTAGAAAAAGACTCGCATGTCGGCCGAGAGGTGTCGCCGTTTTTGCTTGACTGGACGGGATGAGGGATCCACGACCAGCAGGTGTGTGATTACATACGGCCCGACTGATTCCCGACATGTCTCCGGGTCCCCAGGAAAACATTATGGAATACACCCTAAGGACTACGAGGATGTTGGTCCTCTCGGCCTGTGGTAGCTGCCTTCCGATTTTTAGTACCCTCTCGGGCCTAGTGGCGTCGAGGAGCACTTCCTCCACATCCTCGATTGATTCGGCTCAGGGGTGCTCCTCTTCCCTGCTGACTGCCATGTTGATGGTGTCAACTCGTAGTTCTAACTTGGTGATCTTCTTGGTGATTTTCAAGTAGCAAGCTCTTGCGATCTTCTGGATGCCCCGCGCGTTCCCGATACCAGTAGAGGTCGGGAATTTGAGGAAAAGGTGCTTCATTGAGATAATTGCTTCCAAGATTTCTCGTGCTGGTCGGCCTCAGATTAGGTTGGGGCACAATCCATGTTGACAACCACAAACTCCATGTTGAACTTTGCCTTATGGGAACCATCACCGACTTCAACGGGGAGTACTATAGTGCCTTCAACGCTGATAGAGTCCCTGTTGAAGCTGGAGAGCATCGTCCGTATTAGTCGAAGGGACGCTCGGTCAAGTCCCAGCTGTTTGAAGTTGCTCAGGTACATGATATTGAGTGAACTGCCGTGTCAATATAGGTGTGGTGGATGGCCACGTCGTTGATGTCACATTTGATGAAGAGGGCGTTACTGTGGGATGAGGGTCCCTTGGGATGATGGGATCAGTCTTGAATCTTTTTTCCTCGGGGGGGGGGGGGGGGGGGGGGGGGGGGGGTTACCTTGCCTATATATAGGGACTGTGCCTATTTTTTGCGTTGGGTGACCGAGTCACCCCTGGTGTTACCTCTAGCGATTAGGTTGATGTGATCCTACCTGGGTTGTTGCTCGCCGGAGTCTTCGTCGTAGATCAAATTCCCAATCTCCCTCTTCTTCGTCGGGCCACTACTAACCAGGGAAGCGAGAGTTTCGATGACTAGAGATGTTTTTAATTGGACTGAAATTTCTGGGTCTGGTCCGAATTGGTCTTGTCTTGTTTGTTAAATGTCTGGTCTCTGTGTATATAACTATGGAGGTATGATCTGATATGGTCTGTTTAAGTTTGGTCTGGGACTGAAAATAGTCCAATTAAAAACATCCCAGTAGATTTATGTAACCATTTTCTATTGTTGTTTAAATATTTTGTAATTGTACAAATCAATTTTAGGAAAAAACATCATTTAAGTACGCTTACTTTAAAAACATTGATCAATTTGATCATTTAATCAGTTTTGAACTATAATAGCATGTTTTTGTATATTAAAAAATTGTTTCTATGTACTTGTACATTTGTACTATCTTTATATTTTTTTTAAATAATTTTTAAATTTATATGATTTTTTATAAGATTTATCAATATCCCTAATTTAATTTTAAAAAAATAACCTGCGAGAGCAGCTCAAAATGGCTTGATTGATTGTATTTTAAATGTAAGCGTACTTATATGATACTTTTTAATAAAAGAGCTTAAGTGATGGATTGAAAATAGTAGAAGGGTCTATTTGACCATTTACCTTTTTCAATAAATGGCATACATCAATTTGAACCGGTAAATTACTGTTTAGGAAAGTCATTGGCACTATATCATTGAGTTGGGGAATTTGGTTTCATTTTTTTTTTATAATTTAAGGGGTTATTTGCACTATATCACCGAGTTGGAGGTGCTGATTGCGCGTTTTTATAATTTAGGGGGTGATTTGCACTATTGATATTAGTTCGAGGGCTCATTTGATACTTTTCCCTTTTCATATGACATCAATGCATTGGCATTAGCATTAGCATTAGCCTCGCTCAGAAGCCCACGACTCTAAAAAGAATTTGTATGTGTTTAATCTAAAACAATAGTCTAATTGTGAACATCTTTATTACTCTTATTAGTATTATATTAGGACATTAGAAAATTTTTCAGGTATGATGTCATTTGATTTGATCTGATATGATCTGGTTAGGTCATATTATCTGGGCATTTTCACCTCTTTTTGCCAAACAGTTTTGCCTCATTCAACAAATAGTTTAGATGCAACATTTGAAAATTCAGCTCCACACAATAGTCTTGAGTTCAGATAATAGACATTAGTTCAGACATTAGTCTCCATCTACTGCTCTAAATACAAAACATGGCCCTAATCTATGAGCCCGTTTGACAACTCTTGTCTGCAGCTTATTGGACACTTTTTTTACTAATTGCGTAGTTTTGACTTCGCTCTCTGAATTAAGAAATGATCAAAATAATTCGGGTTGGAGTAATTTTCTTGCCGAATTGGCTGAAGTTACTATAGAACACCATTCTAGATATTTTAATGTATTTTTTTCTTAAATAAATTAACAAAATACATTTGAAATATAATTTTTCAATAATTCAGCCAATACAGTCACTTCAACCAAAATGTCATAGAAATAAATCTCAACAGATTTATCCGATTCGGCCAATTTCAGTGTTATTTAATGGGCCTTATGTATCCAAATACGAAATTGCTTTCTGGGCGACATAGAATTACTAAACCTAACCATGTGAGACAAATTTCACCCTTTTTAATTTCTTTTTGCTAAAAGTGCTCATCATCGCATTCTAGCAACCTCGAACATTTCTTTAATTCTCTAATGTACGGATGGAAAGTTGTACATATTTTTAAATAATGTGTTTTAAATTTCAATCTTTTTAAAAGTTCTTTTTGCGCTTTCAATAAAAGTTCTTTTTATCATTTTTTTTTTAAATATCGTGTTCTTACTTAATTCTGTTTACTCCATTTTGACTGAAGATAAAATTATTATTATTATATTTTGAAATTGAAAAAAAATAAAAATAAGATTTTAAAAATGCAGTACTTGTTTTACATTTGGAGTACATATACTTTAACTTAATTTATAATACTTTTTATTACTCATAGTATCTCTCTAGCTGTGCATTACAAAGAATGATCAAAATAATAGTTTTAAATAACTCTAAAAAACATTCAGATATGTTTAAGTTAAAAAATTCAATCCAGTTACAAACATATTTATAACTCTTATTAGTGTTATATCATGACATTAGAATGTGTAAAACGTTTCGGGAGATTTGTTCTAATCTGATATGAAGTTTTAAGTTTTAGGGAGGACTCCTTTTAAGTTGTTTTTAATTGAATTGAACTTTTCTAGTCTGATTAGATTTGATATGATCTAATATGATAAATGTTTGATATGATCTATAGATATTGAGAAAATTTTACACAGATAATGTATAGAACGTTGAATTCTAATCGAATACAACAAATTTTCCATATTTCGCAATTGTATTTTTAAATATATTGAATTACGTAGTATAATTCTATTCCAACTTTATGAAGTTAATTTTTTTTTTACCAAAAAAATACTTTAGGAACATGGAATGATTATAAGATGACATAGAATTGATTGATGAATTAGTCCTCAACTAACATTCGTAAGACGAATAATATGATGAGTATAGTATGATGAGTTTTAATCTAACTTAACTTCTAAGTTCTAACATACGTATAATTAATAATTAATATTCTAAATAAAAAAAAAAGAATCAAAAATATTACGGAGTATAATGAATGTTTACTTAAAAGATGACACATGACAAAACTTTTCATTATTGTATCTTTGAAGTGTATTAGTTACAGATAAGTATTTTCAATTTCTTAACTTTACTTGGATCAGGCTCGAGTTGGGTATTAAACCTGAACCGGTCATATTTTTAGTAAAACCCGGGCCAATTCAAAATATCATATTGGTTCAGGTCAGTTTTCGGGCTTTGGGTCAGTTTTTCACATCCCTACCTTAAGTTTTCCATTATCGTTCGGGTTTTGTTAAAATAATAAAAATATGCAAGAACTCGCTCGACTACATCAGAAAAATTGGAATTTAATAATTTTGGGGAAAAACAGTCCGGGACAAGGCGATTTGTGAAAATATTAGACTGATGATGAGGTCAATCTTAATACCATGGTTGTAAGTAACAGTTTGAACTAAATCTATCTATCCTAATAGTTTGAAGACCCCCACCCCCCAACCAATCCTTTGAGAAACAAAGAACGTAACTTTTAGATACGGTTGTACCTGCATACTCTAAAGATGTTGGATTAGGAAAAGTTATTTGTTTATACCAAAATACGATTAGTAGCACACCAAAACTAACCTGCAATGCAATAGATATGTGTTAACCCGACCGGGTTTGTTTGCATGCCGCCAGGTTTGGAACCACATCTCTTAACATAGTCAGCAATCAAAAGAATATCCCAAGTAGCACAACACTAACACGATCTGATTAATAAAGAAAGCCTTAATGAAACATCCATTAACCAGCCGGTCGACAAAAAATGCCAAAATAAAGTTAAGCATTCATGAACCGAAATCAATTTATAACCTATTAAAAGTTAAACTCTGAAAGGGTAAGACCGTCATAACACAATCATAATAATTACAAACAATACTAACAACCCAGCATGTAGGGAAGGACGAGTCTCGGTCCCAACTAACCAAGTAGAGCGTGTGGACACCAATAATACCAAAGCTATAAGTTATTACCATGAAATACATACTCTAACAACACTTCCTTGAACAACTTTCCAAAATATTATACTTCACAGGATCAACAGTTGAAAGCAACAGCAACAAGCCAACAAGATCTTATCAATACATCATCGGCCTACCAGAACATATGTTCACTCGCTATCTTCTTCCTCCTACAGTACACAGATGAATAATCATGAAACCACAATAGTAACTTAAAACATGCATGTTGTGCAAAACCGTTGGTGAATACTTAAATCTATTTGTGTATATATCTGTCTGGGGTTATTTTCAATGATAATTACAATTTAAATTTACGAGAAAGCTCCGTACATAGACGAACCTGAGAAACACGAGGACTATGACAAAGTGATGAAAGCTTAGAACAAGAAGATGTAAGCTTTCATCACTAAAAAACAAGAATCTAGTACTTTTGGTGAGAATACCTAATTGAAATACTTGAAAAGTTCAAAGTACTACATTCTTGGTTTTTAGCGATTTATAGAAATACATGAGACATAGGTTAGGATAAGACAAAATCAACTAGTGTGACACAGATTTAAATACTTAAATGTAATACTTTAAAAGTTCATAGTGCTACATCTAAAAAATGTTTTTTTGTTTTAAAAAGTATAACTTTCAACTTTGAAATGTTGCAGTTTGGTCCCATCTCATTGATAGGAGGCCACTTTTTACAATAAAATAATATAATGTAAATTTCTACTACATACTATTAAGGCTCAGTGGCCTAATTTAAGAACATAACACTTTAAGAGATCAAAGTACTACATAGATCAAAGTACTGCATTCCAAATACACTGTTTTTTTGTCAAATAGATTACTTTTTTTGTCAAAAGATATTACTTTAAGCTTTTAAATGTTTCATTTTGGTCACGTCATTTTGTGGAGCTATGACAACTTGACAAGAGACCACCAATTACAAATACTATGGAGAACTTATTTATTTTACTAGGCATATCAAGGCTAGGACACCTAAGAGTCAACTAGGCGCTTGTTAGCTAGCAATTGGTATTTGGTAGCTATCAGTTTCTATAACCATGCATGTATTGTATATGGTAGTTCTTCAAAAGCACATACTGAAACAATTAACACACCTCTCCGCTGCTCTCGTCTTCCTCCTCGTGATTCACTTCAGACTTGGACTTGTTAGGCTCATCCCGATCACCTCCTTCCTCCTATGTGTCAAGTCACAAGATCAGAACCAACAAAATTAAAGCATATACTAGAGAAACAATAAAATCAAAATGATTATATTAATCGCATAAGGTATGGAAATTAGTACTATCAATTTCTCCTTGTAAGATTTCATCACTCTGTCGTAGTCCTCCTTGCGTTTCTCAGCTTCATCTATGTATGGAGCTTTCTCCTAAATGTAAATAGTAATTATCATTTTGAAAATAAACCCACACAGATATACTTGTATACACAACTAAAACTCAATTGGCAAACTATCTACCTTTTCAGACATAGATTTCCACTTGTCTCCAGCAGCTTTCCCAACCTAATAAATAAAAAAAGGAAAAGGAAAAAACACATTATTAGTATAATTACCCCACTAATGAAGAAAGGTATCACATCACCCTCTCATTTGTAAGGCAAGGATGTTTTAGTTTGTAATCTTACAACTGAAACTGCTTTGTTCTTGGGATGTTTTAGTTTGTAATCTTTTCTGAATTGTTCCCTGTACTCCAAAAAGGCAGTAACATGCTAAATTTCCATTAAAAATACCGTCTTTATGGAAACAAATAGGGCCACAGAATTAGCTAAAACATCACGGACATGAAAACAAAGAAAGCACTGGGAGGTCTTTTAGGTTTATTGGGATCCTTCACATTCTTTTTGGACGTTTTCTTCACTGCAAGCCTATTAGAAAATAAAGACAAAAAAAATAAAACAATTATGAAAACAAGACAGCATAAACAGGTTATATGCACGAGCGAACTCCTACTTGCTTTTAGATTTTCTGGAGTCCGCCTTCGACTTTTCTCCTTTCATGATGGATTCTGAAAAACTCGCCCCCAAATATATCCCACAAATCAGAAATTTGAACTTGAACTAATATGAATTTCGAAAATATCAAGAAACTTGACTGTAAACGAAATAGATACACAGCTTCTAGCTAAAAAGCTTACAGTTGCCGGAAGAACGGTAAGTTTAGGGTTATGCGATGGCTATGGTGATGGGAAAGGGCGAGAGAGTGGGCCGGGGCAGGACTCGTGAAGGATGAAGGAGTTTTTACTACTTCAATTTTGTTACGGAGTACTATTTTGACTATTTCATTTTTAATCCAATGTTTTAACTGTTTCATTTTTTATCCCAAACAAAATGAATCAATTTTTTTATTCTTTATGATATTTCATATGGTACAACAGTACAAATTTGCATACGATTTTTTTTGAACAAAAACCAACCAAAAACAAATACTAAGAAAAAATTTAATTTTTCCTTCATTTTTTTATATACAATATCATTGGAAAGAACATAAAAAGTTATTCAATATGATATGTCGTATATTTTTAAAAAAATGGATCAAACATGAAATAGTTAAAAAAAATTGCAAAATAATAACAAATTGTCTTGTTACAGATTGTCTTTAATTTAATGTTTGATTAAATAATTGTGTCATTTTTTCAGTGGAAACTCTGAGGTGGGACGGAGATAGTATTAACTAACTAATTAACATGGAATTAATAATTTTGAGTTAATAACTTGTAATGTCAAAATAGAATAATGGGTTATGAGATTCGAGGTAGAGTAAAGTAAGTAAATAAAAAGCTAGAGAGAGAAAGTCTGCACTGAAATGACAGGGTAACAATATAAGGGAGTGTTTGCAACCGCTTAAAAAAAGCATTTCTCGTCTTTTGGCTTAAAAGGCTAAAATTAGTGTTTTCAAATGATAACTTCTACTTAAAACCCGTTTCTTGGCTCTTGTACAAAAAGTGTTTTTTACTTTTTCTATTACACAAAAACCACTTATTTACCAAACACTACCAACTTTTACTTTTCAAAATCACTTTTTTTCTCAAATATCATCAACTTTTACTACTAATCACTTTTTTCAAAATCACTTCCAAAAGTGCTTTTTTAAGCAGTAACAGTTGCAAACACTCCTTAAATCTCCAATTGTGAACATCCATCCACATAAGTTGGAAGATAGTATTTATAGGAAATGAATATCTTGAACAACACGGTAAAAAATATAAACTAGCAAAAAGATGACATGTGTCCCTTAAATGCTTTGGAAGTCATGTTGATGACGTTCGCATGATGTTGGTGGTGACTGTGATTAAATAACCCTAGAATCCGTGTTCAACGATGTCAGCATGCATATCGTGATGTCAGCACTGGAATGCGCGACTGGAATGTCTAAAATGGCTAAGTATGGAATCAGTGGTCGAGGCAGATCGGGTCTTCTCGGCCTCATCCCGAAGAGTCTGTTGAAGCCTAAGGTGCAAGATGGTAGCTAGTTCACTCGGTCTCACTCGCATAGCTCGGCCCAGTTCTATATGGAACTTTCCTATAATATGTTGGGTACTGACCACTCTCCTCAGCCTCAATACTTGGTTCAGTTGGGTTTATCCGCATGGTGATTTTTTGGGCCCTGGGGTATATGACAATATACTTCACCATGAGTCTCCCGCTTAATGAGGCAAAAACTCTTCGAAGTGAAACAGAGTAGCTCAACTGTATCTTGAACTTGTACTGTTGCTATGGGCGTCACGTATGATCTGGAAAATACCTTCAACCTTGCCCACAGTGAGGTGATGCCTCGTTAAAAATTCCGCTAGGAAAACGTAGTGGAAAAAATTCATAGCAAGATAATAAAAAATCATTGCCCTCGAGGGAGTGCAGGATAAAGACAGAGTATCCTCCTGTCGACCTAAGTGGTGTTTGGTGGTGATGAGATGAGTTGATTCCATGGTGGATACAGACAAGCACAACTCATGTCTTAATTCCCGCAATTCAGTATTTTTCAGCTTTGTTCAAGGCTGAGGATGAGTTATATGTGTATATAGTTCTAGGATGTTCTAGTGGTCTGCCTCACCAAGTGATTTTCTCGAGCCACTCTAGATTTTACGAGTGAGATCTCATTGGAGCTTCTATGACCCTTCCTAAGTTGTTTATTTTCCGATTGGAGTTTGAGATTTAACGAAATTCGGTAAGATTTCTAAAAGTGCGAAACTTTGAGATTAAAAGGAGTAGTAAAGTGAGATGCATTGGTGACAAAAATTCCCTCAACTGGATTTCCAACACTTAGTGAATTTCAGAGTGCATATGTGAAAGTGGAAAAACTATTGCTTTTGAATTCTAGCAAGAAATTGAAAAATTAATTAACTAACTTGTCATAACTGATTGACGTTTGAGCATGCGGCTTGATTGATGGCTCAATGGCTCTCCACATGACAAGTGTGGCTGATATTTAATTTGTAATCATGTTAGCCGCCTGACGTCATCCCTTCTTTTCAGCCGGTAGTGCAATGTGTTTGGTGAAGTTGCTACACCGCCCCAGCTGAGAAAATGTATGAATACGACAAAGACCCTCTTGCTTTAAGCCTTTACGCTTCCATTCCGAGCTCTCATTTTTCTTGGTGTTGTTGCATGTCGTGTGAGATCCATTCGAGTTTGTAGTTTGTCCGCACATTCTTCCTTATCTTCAGGTCACTGGTGGTTTTCTCGTCTCTGTTTCTACATTATTGTAGTCCGTCTAAGGGTTCTACCATGGTGTCACCCCAGGGTTATGAAATAGCTTAGGATTGGCCTTGGATTTGAATTATCATGCTCAGATTGCTCTTTAGGTGAATTTATGTCCTAGGATTAGGCCTCCGGCAACCCAAGGGTTGTTTTTTAGCTCGAGCCATCAGACAATTGTTCCTTGTGCTCATGAAGAACAACACAAAATGCATGTTTGTTATCCAGCCTTCAAATTTTGTATGGTAGGGCGGCCTAGTAATGCCTTCTTATGCTACTGCAGCCTTCAAATCTTATGTTACAGGTCCAGTAATCCTCAAACTTTTAGTCTTTTGTTTTTTCTCTAGACTTTAGGATGCCATCTAATTTGCCTCGTCTATCGATTCTAGTGCCCGTGATGGCAGAAGGTGTTAACAATACGACATCGACTGCTCAAGTCCCTTCGTTGTGCGTGTGTTATGTGTCTACCAATGGAACACAATATAAGAAAACACCGGGCAATAAGAAGTATGGAGAGTTGGACTTTATGGTGCTCATCACCTCTCTGTGTGAATTGTCCGACGATGATTGACATCATGCATGTCTCATGGAAAACCAATTGTAGATATGACATGTGTAGGCAGAAGAGACAACATCGTCCCCTCCCCACACGTGTATTTCGGGGTTCACTTGATATCCCTCAAGCTCTGATGTTGCTTCCCCTCTAGCCCTTCTTCATTGTTGATTACTTCAACTAGAACAAGATGTCGCCACGCCATATGGTTCCCAAAGGTCATTACTATATGACTCTATTTCAGATTAGGTGTCTAGAGGCCTAGGTTGAGCTGAGTGTGGAAATCTTTAGGTTTATGTATAACATCAATAAGATTTTCGTAAGTACTATTACTACTACTAATATATGGCATCTTCTTTTCGATTTTGGAATGGAGGAAATGACCTTGATAGTTGGGGCCAAAGATTAGGAACATATGGCATTATAGGTTAATTTTGTTAGTAGAGGATGAGCTAGGGTTGTGTGGTTGTCTGATGCATGTCACAAAGGCTTTGAGAGAGTATGAGGTTGTTGTCACCTATGGCAGTTATACAGGGGCTTGGGAATTTCTTTATGGTGGCAATGACAGTAATGGGATGTGAATGGGCGGCGTTGGGGAAAGTGTGGTGGCACTGTACTACCTAAGTTGGGGTGGCAGTGACACTTTCTACTTATGCAATGGTATCACTGACAGGTGCATCTTTGTATGGCAATGTGCCTAAATTGGGTTGGTGGTATCACTAGTAACCAATTACCCAAAGAGGTGGTGGTTTCACTACTTAGAGAAGCGTCATTGTCACTGAGCCATGTGGAAAGGGGGGTTATAGTACAATGAAGTTAGATTTTTTCAATTGCATTACTTATTTAGTTAATATTTTGGAAATATGAAATATTGTCTTTTTTGTCCATGAGCATTGGTTTAGCATTATGGGACGGAAAATCTCAAGATTTTTAGAAAGGTTGGAGACGACGTCTTAACGATTTTAGTCCCACACTAAGCCACATTTGATCAAACCTTATCATAGTTGACCACACATAAATAGACTACACCAAATCTGATTTAAATAGATCACCGGATCAGACTTAAACGGACCATACTAGACAATATCAAACAAGACCAGAGTAAATCTTGGGGTGGAAGATCATAGCAAACTTAAAATGGACCACATCGGTTCAAAGCAGACAAGACTGGAAAGTTTCGGTTCGAGTGGAAATATTCTACTACCTCCATCCCCAAAAACTTAGCCAAATCTTAAAATTTGGACCATGGTTTCAATTAGTATAATATTGTGAAAGTTATAAATCTTATACTTTTATGAAAGTGCTTTTAACAAGGAACATTTTCATATCATTTTTATATTCTAAATAATTTCCAATAAATATATATAATTGGTCAAAGTTTTGAATTTGGCTAAGTATTTTGGGACAGAGGTAGTATATAAATTGATATCTTGTACAGTCTGAGTGGTTCAAGTCACTCTAAACTATAAAAGTGTCATTTTTTCAATGTATAAATATTAGAGAGTGCATCTGAAGCTAAACCCTGAACCAAATTCCCTAGCCGATCAATCTCGCCGCCATGGCCTGCTTCATATGGATCATTGGTTCTTCAGTGAGTTTGGTTTGAAGCCACCAATGATCGATCTTTGCTAATGTGATGGCTTTCGGTGAGAATTGCTTCTTTAGCTGGTCTAGTCTTGTCGGAGATTCATTGCTGACATCAGCTCTTGGAGATTATTGGGTAGAGGTATGATCTAACTGGACTGTTCTTCTTTTATAGTTGTGTTTGTTTTGTAATATGACGGTTCTTTCCTGGACACTGACGCTCCGGGTTGTTTTGTCTCCCTCGGTATGGGGAGTTGTTTTGGTGTCCCGGTCAGCTTCGTCTGGTTAGGGGTTTCTGTCTGCCTTCTTTTGGGCTGCGTAAAAAAATGGTAGAGCTCCTCCTCCTCCAAAATCGCCTCTGTGCCAGGGAGAGTTTTTTGGAAAGTCTTTATTACAATTTTATTTTCCCTTTAGTAGTACTCATTTTTATTTTACTTTGAGTAGGTTT